AGACTCAAAGCTGATCGTTTGCTCTTACTCACATTGTTCCTTTTTTCTAGATCCTTGCTTGTGTTGTTCTACTCTCTGATGTACGTCGCTTTGGAGAAAAGAGTCTGCTCAGTGAATTGTAGAATTGAGAATGAGCGTGTGAAGATGTGATCTCTCTCCTTGGACTGAGAGCTGCTCAGTTTAGAAAAGTGACATTAGCTTACTAGACTAGACTAGATTACAAAAAGAACAGTTTGCATGTTGCAGATTGTTTTTCTCTGTTTATCCACTTAATTGTTTCCTTTCTAAAGCCTCCTGTGGACAGGTGTTGAAACCAATCATGCTGCTAAAACACTTAAACAATGCAGCTGGTTCAAAGTGTCTGTGATGTCCATGCCAAATAAAGTCTATTATTATTATGTTCAGGGTGAAGGATAGAAGACATGAATCCATGGATTAATTAGTGAGCAGGCAGACGCCTCATGTTCCTTTTCTAATTAAAGGGTCACTTAAAACTCTTTCTTGTTGGTCTCAGGACTAGATTTGCCCTCAAAGTTTTGTTAACTTTGTCTTTTTTTTGTAACGGTCCTAACGTTTCCTCCTCTTGTCCTCCCTCCTGCAGGTGAAGAGTGGACCTGTGCAGGCTGACTCTGAGCATGCCCAGTCAGGCCGACCTGCAGTGGGCCATGTTCCCCTCCCCTTACCTGAGTGCTGTGGTCCAGACGCCTCAGCTGGGTCTGTAGTTGTCCGACTGTCGGCACGGCAACGAGACGGGACGCTGGGACAGGTCCAGTACTTCCGTCTGGACGGTGAGTTGGTAGTTTTTGAAAACTAGCATAATTTTGAAAGTAGCTTTCCCTCAGTGCTCCGTCTGCACCCGGCCCCTCCCCTCTGTTCTCCCTCTAAAGCCACGCCCCCTCACTTACATGCAGGAGCGCCATCGCTCCAGAAGCGGACCTCAGCTCATGCTTTGAGTGTGAGCACGCCAGGGGTAGAGAGCGAGCAGGGAGACAGGGAGGCGTCTGATTGGTTCATCAGATTGGTACCTCGTGGCAGACATTGGTTGAAGTTTTTACAGACTTACAAACTGATACAGATGATGGATTTTCTTTGTTCTTTTTTCAGAGAACATGAGTTATTAATCTCTGTCAGGACCTAAAGACAATTTACACCAAAATCTGAAAAAGTGACTCTGGAGGAAATCTTAATAGAGTCTTAATTGGGTGTAGAAACTGTTCTGTTGTGATGTTTTAAAGATCGTTCAGTAAAGTTTAAAATGTATCCTAAAGATGTTTTGAAAATCCAGATTCACCTCTCTGTTGATTTTTGCAGATTATGTAAAATTGTTTTTCCTACAGCGACCCGCCCTCCTTCTTCTCCTTCTCCTTCTTCTTCTTCTTCTTCTTCTTCTTCTTCTTCTTCTTCTTCTTCTTCTTCTTCTTCTTCTTCTGTCCGTTTTTCTTCCTAAACGCCGTCACGCTCTCATCTCCTGCCTCCATCTCTAATCAGGTCCACCGCCGCCTCTCCCACCAGGCGTTCTGTGACAAACCTGTTTTTGTTCAAAAGGAGCGATTTATAAATAAAAATTTTGACTTGTTGAATTTCAATTACCGTCAAGTGAGAGAGGGGAGAGAAAAACGCTCATAAACGGCAACGGAGCCGCGCTGTTAATCGCTCCCTGGGGGCGAAGAAAAGCTCCCAGAGTCGGGAATAATAGGAAAGTCTCTGGAGAGGCGGCGGGTGGGTGGGTGGGCGGATGGGCGCCGGTGGCTGTGGATTTGTTTCTTTTTTTATTATTTTACAGGAGAAGAGGAGGAGAGATATTTTAAGAGCTAATTTCTAATGCTTTAATATTAACAGCTCCTCGCTTCCCGTTGGCGTTCTGTGACTACATGTGTACCGGAGAGTAATCCCATCATTTACATTCAGAATGTTTTTAATATCATGCCAATATGGAGATCTATTCAGGAAGTGTGTGTGTGAAGCCAATTAGAAGCATTAATGTGATTTCACTCACTTTAAGTAACCTACATTACAGAGCGAGGGGACAGTGGATGAGGAGGCCGTCTTTGTTCAGGTTTCAGGCGCTTGATGGCGCGGCGGTCGGGTCACATGTGTGGAGGCTGATGTCCTACAGGCGGACGGCTCCTTTCCTGCATGTCGCCGCCGCTGGACTCTTCAACAGCCAATCACAGAGCAGACAATTATTTAAAAAAAAATTATTTTACATGATACAGTTGTGACAACCTGAATGTAACTTCTAGAGAAACGAAAAGTTAAGATACGACTTCAGTTCTGAAAACAAAAGAAACTAAACACTCCCCAAAGTCTGACTCCAGCTCCGGTTTGAAGTCTAAAATATTAGAAATGAAAAGTTCCAGTTTGTGCAGCTGGGACGGTTAAAGTGACCTCTGAGAGATCTCTGAACCAGATCGACTGTCGTCAGAGCAGACAGAGGAGGAGGAGATGATTGACAGGTTGGATGCAGCTGCTGCTGGTTTTCAGCCCTCTGGTCAACAGCTGGGGATTCCAGTCCTCCTTGATTTCTCTTTTCATGCTTCTCTCATCAACCCATCCTAACACAACACCCCCGTGTCTCTCTCTCTCTCTCGCTTTATTTCATCCAAATCTTTTTCTGTTTTTAATCTCGTCTTCTTTCTTGATTATCTTCCAACTCTTTTACCTGGATCTAAACTACCATGTGGCTTTATTTTTTCAGTAATAATCACACTGTTGCTACATTCTTTATATGATCGATAGTTGGGCTTTGACACCTAGTGTTTAAGATTGGTACTGCAGTCCAAATTCAAAATATTTGCTTTGCTTGAACAATCTTGGTGTGATTTTATGTGTTTTAAGGATGCAAAAAAATACAATAAAAAAAGGCACCATTGTTCTTCTCGGTAAAAGAAACAAATGGAAAAAAGAACATTTGCTTTTATAGAAAACTTAGTTGAGATTAATCCTGCAGGACATGTTGGAGAATGGTTTGGTCCAATCAGTGAGATGTGTAGAGAGTGAGATGATAAAGGTATCTTACTCTCTGATCATTAAGGAAACATGCTATGTTGAAGTGCTGGCTTCTCTGACAACAATGCAGCAGCCAGTATGTCCTCCTTCTAACTTTACATTCTGGTTCGTTTTGGACGCCCCTCGGTTTGCCAGATACGAGAGCAGTTATCAGGTCAAACCAACAGGTGTTATTTTTGATCCTCTTGATTTGTTTCCTTCCAGGTGGGGAGGAGTGCTTCGAGGTGGACCGCCGCTCAGGTGAGATCAGGACAACGGGACGACCTCTGACGCCCAGTAAGGAGTACCTGCTGCAGGTGCAGGCGGTGGACGGGCGAGGTCGTAAAGGCTCGCCGGCTGCGGTTTCCATCCTGGCCGGTTATCGTCCGCCTCAGTTTACCAACTCCACCTACACCCTGAACGTACCGGAGAACACCGCTGTGGGACAACCGTGAGTCCAGACACCACGCTGTCAGATAGGAACGGATGGATGTTTAGATGAGCTTCATTTATTTTGGACTTAAATTAGATTATTTGCCTCAAATTCTCAAAAAAGGACTCAGAGAAATACAAGATATCATCAAAAAGTAAAATGATTAGTGATGTGTCAGGGTAAATATTTGTGTATTTTTCTCTGCACTCTGTGTCCCCTTGTGTCCTTCATATTTACAGAAACATCATTTACTGCCTCGGATACTGAGTGTGGAAATGGCACCGCAAGCGTGTGTGAGTGTGAGTGTGTGTGTGTGTGTGTGTGTGTGTGTGTGTGTGTGTGTGTGTGTGTGTGTGTGTGTGTGTGTTTCCGGAGCCACCTCTTTGGCTTTGCATGCCATGTGATGCGTGAAAAGATGAGCTCTGTAGAGCGAGACAAAAGAAGAAGAAGAAGGAGAGAATAGGGAGGATGGTGGGAGAGAGGAGAGTGGAGGTACGAGGAGAAAGATGGAGAGGGGATGAGATGGGGAGGGGGTAGAGGGGGGGAGAGGAGGAGGAGGAGGAGAGGAGGACAGGATGAGGATGAAGAGGACCCAGATGCATGAGTGTGGCCTGAGGGTGAGAATCTGAAAGTGTGGCAAATTCAAATATTTATTAAAAGCGAGGACTGGATAAACATGAAGGGTGTGTGTGTGTGTGTGTGTGTGTGCATGTGTGTGCGTATGAGTGCGTATGAGTGTGTGTGTGTGTGTGTGTGTCGCTCCGGGCTGCTGGCGTAAAGCACATTGTATTAATATCCAAGTATCCATGCCACCTCCTGTGTGTGTGTGTGTGTGTGTGTGTGTGTGTGTGTGTGTGTGTGTGTGTGTGTGTGTGTGTGTGTGTGTGTGTGTGTGTGTGTTTTAGTCAAATTGATTTAGCAGCTTGTGATGGTTTGTGAGTACAGAATAAACCATGAAGCTTCAGGACTTTGAACGCAGCGTTTGGCGGCTGACCAGCTCTCCTTCAGTTCTGTGTGGAGTCAGACATGTGGAGCTGCTGACCTGGGATCAGGTCTATCAGAATCCTGATCTGGACTCGTCCTCTCATGGACTCATCATAGATCAGATCATAAACACAGTTCATCTCCCTCCACTGGCTCCCATCACATTTAAAACCTTCCTGCTGCTCGCTTACAAAAACAGACAGAGACAAAAAGCTCCGCCATAACAGAGGCTAAATCAGAGCCTCCTCCCAACACTTCCTGTCTCTCTTCAGTCTTATCCAATAAAAGCAAAACGGCCCAAAAGTAAAACTTCAAAAACACCTCCTATACCTAAACTCTCTGATCCAGGTCTCATTAAACTTTCTTATCAGAGGATCAGTAACTCTCCAAAGCTCTATGAGTCCCTGTCCATGGTGCTGAAACAGAGAAGGCTGGGTGCAATTCAAGCCAGCCGTCCTCTTTTTTTGGATTATATGCTTTGGCGGCTGGTTGGACAGATATGTTTTCCATCACTTTTTAGACACCTGTAATTTGATAAATGTGTATTCTGCAACACTTTAACGCTGTTGTACCTCCTCTCTAACTCCGCCCCCTCTCCTCTGTCTCAGTGTCGCCGAGGTCTATGCCGTCTCCTTCCAGAAGAAGAGTCTGTCCTACATGCTGCTGGTGAACCCCGGGAATCTGTTCAGCATCAACCAGGAGAGCGGAGCGCTCAGCCTCACCAGGACCGTCGACTACGAGAGCGGACACAACCTCCACACGCTGCAGGTCCGCGCCTCCGAGCCCGACACCGGCCTCAGCGGCGTGGCAGAGGTAGGCGCACAATCACTCATCAACCAACGACGCCCGAGTTTAGAATCTGTGTGTGTTTATCTGTCCAAACAAAGTTAATGTTTGCCTTCTGCTGATAAACAGAATAAATCCACATTAACAGCTGTTGGACTGAAGGAACCCCCCCCCCCCCCCCCCACCCCCCCCCCACGCCGCTCTCTGATGAAAACTCATTAATTTAAAATGAGAGAAAGTGCTGCCGCTGTATCCGACGCTGTGATGCAACTGTTTCATTTACTGTTTATTCTGCGTGTGTGTGTTCATTATGCATGCTCTAAACTAAACACGCGGCGCCCGGTTTGCCTCGTCTCCAACCAGCGTCCTGTGAAGCTCTCATGATGAAAAGTCAACACATCAAAGCTGAGCGTTAAAAAAAAAACAATCAGGAGTGATCAGAAGTTTGAGTTGTTACGGTTTGAATACCCGCCTTTAAAACATGTATCTTTAACACTAGAACGACCAAAGTTTTTTAATTTTGCAATGTAATAACTTACTTAAAATAAAACCTATGTAACTACAGGACCATGACTTTTCCTAAATGTGTCTATATTTTATTCTAGCATTGCTATTTTATCAAAAACACAAAAGATTTTTTGTAACAGAACACGTTTGTTGGGGTGTTCTGCCATGCCAATTCTCCCAAACTCTCCCTAATGCTTTAAAATATTTAAAATAAGACATTATTATGATGTCAGGGTCATACTGACCTGAACTAATCTGTGATGGTGAGGACACTAAGTCTACCAAACATCAGATAAAGAGGAAGACCCTTGACACGTTAAGCTGTCTTTGCTTCTCTCGTCACATCTGAATTTTATCAGGTCTGACTGACATCAGAGAACAGTGAATAGACAAAATCATGTCTGTACATTTCAATCTAAATACATATGTACAGAAAATTCCACCACAATTGGCTGGTGATCAGTCCAGGGTGTAACTCCGCCTGACAGCCCCCCCCCCCATGACCCTGAACGGGAAAAAGCGGTAATAGATAACTGATGGATGTATCTCTTTAACAGAAATGGTAAAGTTATCATAAAACTTTTAGTGAACATACTGAAATGTTTACTGTAAAGAAAAAGCAGCCATGACGTCCTGTTTCCTCGCTCTTATCTAAAATCGATTGCAGCAGTTCCAAACTTTCTTGTACTTTTTTTTAGTGATTTAGAACCCAAAATATTTCAAATGAGTCCCAAAGTATGAACACATTTAAATTTCCCTTCAACTGAAGGAGCACAAACTACAGTGCAGAAATCTGGCAGCTCGACCTCGACTCACGTTTTCACAGAGGGCTCGTAAGACTTCACACAGGAGATAGTAGCATCTGTTCACATTACACACACACACACACACACACACACACACACACACACACACACACACACACACCAGAGGATTCCACTATTACCTGCCCTTATAGTCCAGATGGTTGGAGCAGACAGAGAATAGCTGCTAAACTACCAGCGTCCCCTAAAGGCCTCGCTGCTCTATAAGCTCGGCTTGCTAATTCACTATAAAGGCGTGTGTGTGTGTGTGTGTGTGTTTGTGTGTGAGTGTGTGTGTGTGTGTGTGTGTGTGTGTTTGTTTGTTTATTTGTGTATACATGTGTGAGCCAGGTTTCCAGAGAGCTTCCTCCCCAGCAGTGCTAACGTTACATCTTACTGTAGCATCTGCACTTTCTGTTGCCTTCAGCTTTTCCAGACATTTTGAGCCTAGACCCCCCCCCCCCCCCCCCCCCACACACACGTTACAGCGTTATACTTCCCTATCTCCCCCGCAGCCTCGTGTTTGTGTTCCAGCGGCAAAATACACACAATCTACACGGCTGTTTTGTGGATATCCAATCAGAGCAGAGAGATGTAGCATCATATTCCTCTCTGCATGTGAAACCAGCAGAGACAGCTGAGTTCTCCTGCTTGTGTAGTGTGTCCCCAGTGACTACAGGAACCAGAATGCACTGTGTTCTAGCGTCCAAGCCCTCTCACAGATTTCTCCTGGTTCAGAAAAATACGACTGAGCTTGTCTAAATCCATTTAATGCAGTTGATACTAAACGATACACTACGATACCGACAATTTGATACAAAACAGACGATTCGATATGATACGATGCAATACTATAAACTACTACATATAAAGCTGTTCTCCTCCTCTCTAGATCCAATAATATGAAACCGTACAATGCATATGCTACGATACGTTTCAGACGATGCAATAAGATAAAATAGAATACCGATGATACCAGACGATCATATACAAGATGACTTCAGGGAGATTTGTCTTGGACTGAAATTATTTCTTTTTGATTCTAAAACAATCAAAACAAACAACAATCGAGGTGTAAACAAAGAGGCACAAACCAATTACAAACACAAATTAAATATATTTCACGACCGTTTTACAACAATAGGTGGAAGAGGAAACAGAAACAGATCTCTCTCCACATCCATCCCCCTCACTGCACACCCAGCAGACTCTTTATTTACACCTCGTTCAGCTTCACCTGACTGTTGTCTTCTCTCCGGTCATAACTCCCTCAATCAGCTGATGCAAAGTCATATTTAAGTCTGGACAGTTTCCATCGCTCTTAACATTTGAACTCAGAATCTACGATGCTGTTTTGTTGTTGTTCAAAGTTTGGCAGCTCGCTAGATAACTGTTCTTTATAACCGATATCAAACTGATGGTGCTGGAAGATCAACAGATCTGCAGCTACACCTGTTAGACAAAGAGACCGTCTGTCAGAGTCTGCAGGTGTTCCTCACACGCCCCCCTTCCATGGACTGACTCGGATAAGGTCGGGAATCAAAGATTGAAAACTGAATATCTTCCAGTCACAGTCAGAGGATTCATTTGTGTTTGTTTTATTTTTTTTTCTTGCTTGAATGCATCTTTAATATCGAGTCGTACAAACATATTTGTCAGTCTGTCTGTTGTGGGGTGAAAACAGTAAACACATTTTCCTCCTTTCTTTCGGCTCGGCCCTCTAAATATTCAGTCGGTGTTTGCAGAAGCAGCCGTGCATCTAAATCTCCTCAGCGTGCCCCTCCGCTGCCCCCCGCTCTTATTACCGAACAGGTGGTGTGTCGAGGGTTCAGGGCTGCCGAGGAAATCTGTGCTCAGGTGGTCGGCGCAGAAGCTTCACCACTTAAATCAGACTTTATGGGAATGGAAAATAGCTTTTTGGCTTAAGCTCCAGTGGCTCGGGATACTGGGTGAACTGGACAGGAGCGGGCGGTGGCAGCTCAGGATTTAGGAGCCGGGGAGATTTAAAGGAGAGAAAGAAATGGGTTTCTCTCCTCCAGCAGGAGACATTTGTCTTCATCATGTTTGCATGAGTTAGTTTGGAAAACAGGAACGTCACATCACATTTAGCTTTTCCAATCTAGACTTATAAACGTGCTGATTCTGACTCGACCTGCCAGCACAATTTATTTATCAAGATATTACTCCATCATGTTATCAGAGTTACCTGTCTTTAGATCTGTGGACTTTAAACTCCGCTGTGTTTATCTACAGCAGCAGCCTTTTTTTTAAAAGGTTTTTTTTGGGGCTTTTTGTGCCTTCAGATTCAGATTTAGATTCAGATTTTTTTATTGTCCCACAAGGGGAAATTTGCGTTGCAACAGGAGCACACAGAAGACAAGAAACACAAGGACAACATCACCATAAAACATAAACCAAAACTAATTTAAAAACTCAGACAACACAGCAAAATATAAAACCAAATAAAAACAGCACAATAAAATCAGTCAAGAGCCCCGACCAGAATGAACATTCAAGTTATTAAAGAGCAAAGTGGAGGTGTGCTAATGTGCAGTTCAAGTGCAAAAAGAGCAACAAGTAGCTAATTGTTTTTAACATATTAATTGCACTTGGTAAAAATGAGACCTGGAGTCTTTTAGTCTTCCTCACAGGAGCTCTAAAACGACGACCTGAGGGTCAAAGGTCAAACTCACTGTGAAGTGGGTGATCTGGGGTCACATGTATGGCTCTAGCTTTCCTCAGGACCGGCTGATTATACCTGACACCTCCCTGAGATTCTGCTGCTTGTTTTTACAAGTTTCACAAGTCTGTTCTTGTTTGAGTTCAGGCTTCCATACCATGCAGCGATGCAAACATTTAAAACAGATTCAATCAAACTTTTATAAAACAGAGTCATCATCTCCGTAGAAACATTAAAAGAGTTCATCTTTCTTAAAAAGCGGGCCATCCGCTTGGAGCCTCCAACCACTGCGCCCGCAGCAGCTTTTTGTTGTTAGCACAGCTTTTACTTTCATTTCCAACTCTTCAACAAGAAACTGTGGAAACATTTGCCTCTATGAAGGTTTATTCTGTGGTGGGCCCACTGCCCAACAGACCTGTAGTATTGCTTAATATGTAAATTATGTAACCCGTTTTTTTTTTTTTAACCTGCAGTTCAGGTTCAGGTGACTTTATTTGTACCTGTAGGTAGATGTTTTTGTTTTTTCCAGTAATTAGTTTCATCCGGAGGTTCAACCCGCTCTTCAAGCTTGAATGCTGCTCAGTTTCTAAGTCCTGACTAACCATGAATCCAGAACTCTTTGAATGTTTCTGCAGAAATGAACAGAAGTTTAATTTACCCCTCTCACTATTTACACTTCATCTCCATTAATCCCTCTTTCTCTTTGTTCCAATGCCTCGTTTGTTCAGCACTATTTAATTATCCTTACGTAACACAGCCGCCTTAATGCAGAGGATTCAAACAAACACTGTGAGTGGATTTATTTAATGAACAAAATGTTGATATTGGGTAAACAAGCTTTCCTCTGAAGCACTTTGTTAATGAGGCTCGAACTGGACGAGTATTTTTAGCAGACTAGCAACTAAACGTACAAAAGCACAAATAATAAAGGCAGATTTATTTATTTATTTTCCTCTCGTGCTTTATCAGGAACACATCTCTACTTCTCGCTCTGTTTACTTATTTTAACAATGAAGAGATTTCAGGGTTTGTAGTGT